TATGAAGTTCCATTTGTTTTTACACTGAAAGAACCGATTAAGTGTCTCTAAATGCTTCTAATTAAGGTTGCCTCTAAATGCGTCGTTTAAAGGGCAAAAACATATTTTTGTGTTTATGTTGTGGGGGAGTAAGGAATCGGAAGCTCAAAACTTTTCATAGCTCGTAAGTTAAAAAGATTTTCGACGGTCGGCTCAGAAGTTTTCTTCTGGATTTTTTGAAATTGTGTATGGCTCTTCCTGCTTGGGCTTTGGATATTTCATTGCATGTATCTTCACCACTGCGTCAGCTATATCTGCCTAATTAATTTGGATTCATATTTCTGGGATTTTTGCTCAAGCCAAACGTAATAGAGCAGTTGATAATTAGCGATGGTGCTAAATTATTCCTAATCTGCAGGTCCTCTGTTTGAATCCCGCATTAGACCAAGTTCTTTTGAGGTAATATGCTTGGGTTTTCTGGCGTTTTTTAGATCACGCACTTTGCCAGCTGGTATCTTAGAATGAATCATGTGTGAAATTTATAGAAGCTGAGTACAATTGGTTTAAGTGTTAAAGCAAGTAAATAATTGGTATGGGAGAGATTTGTGGTTCGAATCTCATAGTCTCGAAAAAGCTGCTCTAATTGTTTTTATCATTAACGTTATTTTGTTTTTACTAAATTCTTAAAGCTAATTTGGGCGCTTTTCTTCTTGTGTTAGCCAAATGCAGCTTCTCCGCTTTGTTGAATTATTTGATAAGCTATAAAATATATAAATAATATTCAATGATAACTAGATATGAAATTGAAACACATTTTTGAAAAAGGCCGATTTTTTTGCAAGTTTGCCAATAACTCGTTTCACTTGCGAAAGCAAGTGTCTTGTAATTGGGAACTAGACTTTTTTAAAGTAAACAGTTTTTGTTACAATTTTTCAATTTAAATTCAGATTCCTTCGCACTTGCGCTAGAGGCAGCGCCGTCGCCTTTGTACCCTAAGGTCCAAGGTTTGAATCACAATCGGACCTTGTTTTTTTTCAGTTTTTGTTTTGCTGCAGGCAAATATCAGGGTAGTTGCAAGTGTTGTTTATTGTAGTTTCAAGGTAGGCTTCAAACTTTTTACATTTTTTTTTATTCAATCATCTTTTTTTGGCTCAACTGATGTCTGCTCAAAGGTTGTTGGCTTTATTTGCGCCTCCTAAGTTTTTTTGTTGCTTATTTAAAATTCCAGCGTCTTGCTGGGCCTGTTGGCCTAGAACTCTTGTTTGATAATAGCAGGTTTTATGGAAATGTATGGCGTTGGGTTTTTTTTCTACCGATTTCCAAAAAACTGGTATCAATGGAAAGGCCGCCCACTCTCATGTCTTTCGAAAAAGTGGTAGCAATATTTGACCCATAATGTTGATTTTTTTTCGTTTTCTCAAATTGAGATTTTGATTTCAAAGATTAAAACGGATTTGAAAAGCTTTCAGGTCAGATCAAATGGAATTGTATAAGCGACCAACAGTTTTTCTTACACTTAATATTATAGTCCCCAGAAAAGTCCAATTTTTGATTTTTGACTGTTTTTTTTTTAATTTTGTTGACTTTTCTCAAAAACTTATCTCTCAAATCTGAGACAGTGGGTTCAATGGAAACAACGGCTTTCCTGCTTTAGCGGCCTCTAAGAAATCTAAAGTTTTCGCCCTCTGAACTGTCAAATGATTGATTATTTACCGTTTTTTACGCTTGCGATTAGCAAGTGTTATCAAACCGGAATAAAAACTTTTTCGGGTTAACAGAATCACTTGAATCTTTTTACCTTTCGCTCATTTAAAATAAAAAACCAGACGTTATTTCGGGCAAATGGCGAAGAGCTATTGCACCTGCCTATAAAGTCAAAGGTCAATGGTTCGAATCCGGTCAAGATCTGTTTTTTATATATAAGCTGAAAAATGTCCGGGCGTCGAAAAATTTTTGTCGGACTTCTATTTGTCTCCCTTTTTGTCATCTTCATTGTCGCAGCACCATATTCGCCTCAAATTTGGGCGTTTTTTACTCTATTTGAAAAACATTTTTTTGGGAAAGTAAATGAATTCCAAGAAGTTCTGCTTATTTGTTTTGTCCAGTTTTGGGCAAGTAAATGAATTCCAAGAAGTTCTGCCTATTTGTTTTGTTATTTTTTGATTTGCTTTTTTGGAAGCTGTTTTCTCTACAAATTTAAGGAGTGTTTTGTGCATTTAGTGCAGTGATAACACTTATGCTTCAGATGACAAATCCCAGAAGTTCGATCAGTAAGGACCTGTTTTTTTTGTCAGATATCTTTTGTCGGCTCTGGTCCCGCAGAAAGGTTCAGTTGCTTTTTAACATTCTGTAAGCACTTCTTAAAGTTTCTGATGGTGCAGGTGTTTTTTCAGCTTTTTTCAAAAATGTTTTACAATTTTTTAAAATATTTTTTGACAAAAAAAAACGATTTTTCAAGTTTTTTTTCATTTTTTGATTGGTCTTTTGCTGGTAGTCATAGTCATAAATTTTGTATCGAAAGTGATGCGAGGCTCCGCTTCACCTCTGTTGAAAATTTTGATTATTCTCGTGAACTACCCTGCAAAATCTTGAGTTTTTGGCTCAATCGAAACTGCAGGTTGCGTGAATCTTTTCTGCCATTTTTTGGACTTTTCTCGATATTTGTCCTACCAAATCTGAAAACATAGCTTATGTCGGAAAAACAGGTTGTTGAAAGCCTACCTTTATAAATGTTTACGCGCAGTTTTTTTTGAAAACACTTATGGCCTTCAAACAAGTCAAAGTTTTGAAACTTTGACCGTTTTTGGAAATTTTTTCGCTTTACTCGGAAACTACCGTGATATTTCTCAGCTTGTATGATCAATCGAGAAACCTGGTTTTGAGAATCTTCTCTACCTATCAGCCACAACCTGTTTTTTGCAGAATAAAGCTATAGATTTTGGAAAATCAAGTTTTTGAACTTTTGAACGTTATTTTAAGAAAATTTTGAATTTTTCTGTAAAACTACCCAATCAAATCTGAGATGAAGATTTCAACAGAGAGAACCAGTTGCGACAATTTTTGCTGCTAAAAGGGGCTCCTTTATTTTTTGTAAGAGAAATATGATATCTTTTGGTAATTTCCGATATCTCAAAAATTTTCACTCTTCTCAGTTTTTTAGTAGAGAAACAAATAAACAACGTGCCTCCAGCTTTGGATGGGCTGCTAGTTGTTTCTTATCGAGACATGCGAAAGTTTTGTTTCACCCAGTTTTTTTCATTACTTTCCTGTTTCTGTTGAACGATAATAATGACACAGAGGCGACACGGAGCTTCGCACCACTTGCGATACAACAGAAACAGGAATTATTTCTTTAAAAAAATGTTCATCTCAAAGTTTTAATGAATATTAGAGAACTGACGTATGAATTGTTCCCGCGAAATTTTAAACTTCTTAATTGAGTTATTTCTGGGTTTTATTTCTTTATTAGTTGTTTATTTCTTCCCAGTTGTTTATTGGCTATGTTAATATTTATCCGGCATAAAATGTTTCGGATAAGCTTATTTTGGTTTAATCGCTTCATAGTACGTCTTGTCAAGAGCGATTATATTTTTGTTTGAGTGTGTGTGCTGGGGAATGGGGATGGGAACTTGATGAAAATGATTTTTGAAATTTTTCGTTGCTCATTATTGTTCATGACAAAAAAATTTCCGCTCAACGTGCGCATACCCAGTTTTGTCGAATTACTTTCTAATTCATAAGTTTTTTCTAAATACCAATCTACTGCTCTCAAATGCCCCTATCGGGTTTTTTTCAAATTGAAATTCGTTTTGAGACGAAAATTTTGCCAACCTACAAATCGATAATTTTTCCAAACTGTTTTTTTTGCGACTTAGTGGATCACGTCTTTTTTCTGTCGTTTAGTTTATGATGCTATATTTGTGATGAATGGTCGCAATTGATGTTCAGTTTCAACAGACACTATATACAGTGCTGATTTAATTTAACTGGAGAAAACTTTAAAAATTAGAAGCTTTAAACGCGCCCGTTTTTCTGGAATTGCGGTGATTTTAGACAAAAATTGATTAGAACAAAAATTGTTTTGAGTCTTACCAGAATTATTTTGGTGGAATTTATTTTGTTAGCATCTAAAATTTGACGGGAATTTTTGGCTGCTTTTAGAGAAAAACAGAAGCCAATTGCTGAGAAAAACATAATTCAAAGAGCCTCTAATGTAGCCCAACAAAATCTTAAAAGGTTTAATCTTCTAAGGTTTGTATAAATTAATTTATTTTTGTTTGACTTCCAAAAAAATGTCATTTTTACCATATAAAGTATCAGTTTTTATATGTTAAAAAAAAACAAAGTCTAAGCGTTTTGCGCCAATTTTTGGAGACTAAAATCTTAATTTTTTTTGGGCTAAATAAGACGCTCAATTTGATGTTTTTCTTAGCAAATGTTTTTGCAGTTTGTGCTTAGTTTTTGATTAACGAAAAGCAGCCAATAACTACCCGTTTTGTAGGTAATTTTTTGGACGCGAACTTTGCAGAATAAATTGCACCAAATTTATTCCTCTAAAATTCTAAGCAAATTTTGTCCTGATCACTTTTTGTCTAAACTCACTCCAGTTCGGGGAAAAAGCCTTTAAAGTTTCCAATTTCAACCGTAATGTGCGGATATTGTGAATCAGCACTGTATAAGATGGTAATGTGTTAAAAGCGTAGGAAGTTGTGTTGACTATGACGACATTTTTGATCCGGATATAGGCGATGATGGCGTTTGATCCATGTCATGCGAAATGCAAATAGTTTCGCTCTTTGTACACCTGTACTTTTTATTGCAATATTTAATTCGGATGTTTTTAATAGGACGTTGCAACATCAAGTCATTTGTAAATGTTGTGATATTTTGTCTTGTTGATGTGGAAATAGGGCACCAATGTCGTTTTGAACTTGCTCAGGTCTTAAATTAGTTCATTTATTTCCTTATTTACGTTCATTCGATACGCCGAATAACTGACTAAATTATATGTTTTCAGATGAGATGATTCTTCGATGATGACAAGTCTCTAAAATCTAAAATTAGCGGCAGCAGCTCTAAGTTCTGTGCTGTGTTGGTCCAATTTTGGTTCGACCATAGTCCATAAACGCACTCTGTTCTCAGATCAGCTTACCGATCAGTGCCGAAAGTAATGATGTATCTATCTTTTTTAGAATATCCAGATTTAGCGTCAGTGACTGTTCGGTCTGGCGAGAAAATGTGAGTTAGAGCATGTAATGCATCACAGAAGGGCTGATTTTCAAAAATCGCCTAGTTTTCCGAACTACTATCAAAGTAGTTTTTGAAGTCCGGCGACTATGTCTAATTCTCTGGCTGTTTGTCGCCTCACTTTCAAGCGAAAAACCATCATAGAATCGCTTCCTAAAATTACAGCCTGTCAAATTGCAGTTTATCTTTATTCTACCGAAGTTTTTGACCCGGTTGTTCGTGACCAAGTCATTCAAAGCTTACGTCCGTCACGCGAGCTTTTCGACCAGCTTATTAAATTATGCCGGACGAAACCCGAAGCCTATTTGCAGTTCTTAGAAGCCTTAAACAAAGTTGACAGAAAAAATTTAAAAGACCAAATTGAGAAGACGGAAGTGTTTGACACTCTGAAAAGTCATCTTAATTTCCTGGGCCAGCATTTAATTGTTGGTCCAGAATCAAGAGTTGAAGACTTTGTAGATTACATTTTGGACAAGACTCTGGATTTAGTGGTTCGCGAAGAGTTGATTAGCAAAGACAGGGAACAATTCGATCCCGTTAATTTAGGATATAACGTCACACTTCATGACAGAGATAATTCTGGATCAAGTACACCATCTGTCGGATACTCAAATCGAATTCTGGAACTCAACTTGGCCGACCATTTTGGTGAGAGGAAGATATGGGAACTGAAAAATATTCACGATGTCTCATTTCTTCACGGGAAGTTCACGCTTTTAGAGGGTCCGGCAGGAATTGGGAAATCAACTCTGTTAGGTCAATTAGCCAGTCTGTTTCTGAAAGGAGATTTACCCAAATTTAATAACGTTATTCTGCTCAGCTGTAGGAAATTGAATCAATTTGGAGATCGAAAGTTGACCTTTGAGAACCTCATTCACAGCTACGGGTACACAGTTGATTTCGACTTCACTTCTCAGTACTTTTCCGACCAGCTGTTTATTTTTGACGGGTTTGAAGAGTATAATCGGCGATGGACGTTCTTAAACGACGAAAACAAACCTGTTGAGACAAGATTGTCAATTGAAAGTGATGAAAGGACAAGCGATGAATGGATACGATATCTGATTTGCTCCAGTGGGAAAAGTGTCGTTATTGCTTCTAGACCCGGCTCGTTGAGATTTCTGAAAGGTTACCCTTACAAGCTCCGACTCCGGGTTCTGGGTTTCAATGATCGCACAATTCGCGATTATTTCCAAATGCACAATAGTGCAGATAAATTAGTCTGGCTCGTAAACCACAAGGGATATCTATCGCTTTATTCTCAGTTGTACAAACCTTTAATCAGCAAATACTACATCAAAATTTTGAATCACCCCGATTTCAAACAATTCGATTTGCCAAAAGCGTCTACTGAAGTCTACAAAAGAATGTTTCTTCTGCACATCGAGGAAGAGTGCTACGTGCATCAGGATCAAGTTAGAGAATTCACAGGTTTCTCAGAAAAGATGACTTCCAAGAATTTGGTCCCAGCCTACAACGCAATAGCGCTGAACGATTTGAAAAGCGGCAAAATTGTCGCCAACGACGTTTCTGAAGCGTGTGATTTTCTGCAGAAAGTGTGTGCCGTGTGCTTTCAAATGGTATGTTCAGATTGGCGTACGGGTGAATGCAACAACAAACAGCCTTCGTTGCGGAAATCTGAAGTAAACGAAGAACGCGCTTTCGAAGTGGCGAAAAGATGTGGACTTTTTGTCCATTATGATAACAGTGCTTTTGATGAGCAAGATGACGTGTTGCTACCCCATCATTTACGTGCCGTCGAATTTGGTGCAGCGCTTCACGTAGTGCGAGTGTTCTACGCTGAAATTGAATATGTGTGGAGAAATGCTTTCCAAAGTGTCTTAAGTTTGGTGTCCAAAAATAAAATCAAAGCGGTTTTTGGAAATTTGAATGAACACTCGTTTCCACACGATGTGATCAAATTTGCAGTAGGAATTTTGGCTCAATCTGAGAGCAATATTTCGCAACGTCAGATGCAGAATTTGGCAAAAACACATTGCAAATCCTTGAGTAGGCATTTAAGTGACCACACCATTCTGAAGCTAAGTGTTGAAGTTCCGGATGACACTGTTTGGTTCAAGAAGTTGAAGTGCAGAACTGATGAGATAGTTGATGGGATGTTTGAGACTCTTTTGCCCGAAAATGGAAATGACGGCTCAGGAACAGATAATAGTACTGACAACGACCGGGTGCTTCTCAAAATAGATAAGTAAGTTGCAGAAGTTTAAATACGTGTTCTAATGCGTTGTGCGGGGGCAGGGTTAAGGGGTAGGGAAGAGGGAGACGCCTGCCATCTCTTAGTGATTCGAACCCCTCGTCACTAAAAAGCTCTCAACTTGTGCTTTTTTCATAAGGAGCCTTTGACGCCAATATTCACTAATTTTCAGGGGATCGCACGCTGAAAAAACTCACATAGGGTGTTAATGGTGTTTTAAGTGAGCTCGGAAAACTGTCAAAAATGTGTGAATACTCAAATACTCAAAATAAAATTATTTTTTGAACGGATTTTTATAAAAGTCTGATTTGTCTACACTTTGCTCTGTATTCTTGTACGTGAAATTAGAATTAGCTGACGCCCTCGTAAAAAAAACGCTCTCGGTCAAAAGCATTTATAGTAGGTCAGCAACCAATAACCTCAATGAATTAGTCAGCTGTCCAATATGAGTTTCAACTTAATGTTAATCTGTTTCTTGTGGTTTTTGGCAAATTTAAAGTAATTTGTTACGATGAGAACTAAATTCGTGGTTTTTGGTATGCATGTCGACCCTATGTAGGGCATATCTGGACAGGATTGAAGCTGTGTGCTTGGTAGTGCGTAGTGGATAGTTGTTGGCTGACGCTAAATGTGTAGCAAATCTTTCGTGTGCCCCTTGTAGTTCTTTCTCGTGGCTTCGAGCTTTGTTGAAGTCTCGCTCTACATATTCTCCGATGCCTCGTCTGGTTGCCTTTCGACTGTGGGCTTTTAAAAAATATCTAATGTATTTTGTTACCACGAGAAGTACTTCCCTTTTCTGCTCAGTGGTTGAGATTGAGGCAGCATTACCCAGCTCGAATTACACTGAAAATAGTTTTGTGAACTTTTATATCGGGGACGCAACAGCTTTTCGCCTTTAAGAGCTGCGGAGCTCGTATGTTCAATATTGCTATCGAGAAATCTATAAAAAAATCTTTTTTTCTCTGTCTACCCTAGCAACGCTAGTCGTAAGATCGTTGCGTTTTGTCCAGCCGAAGTGGCAAATTTTAAGGTTCTGTTTTTGAGTTCGAACCGTGTATCTGTGTGCATTTCAAATTCTCTCAGAAATATTTCTGACTCTTAAATAAATCGTGATGATTTTTGTTGGTTTTTTTCGTATGAGGAGAAATCTTTAAATTTGTTCCGGCTCAAATACACTTTCTTACAGATTGAATTTTGGTTTCTTTTTAAATTTTTTTCTTTTGTTAAAAGGAGGGCAAACTTCACTATCGAACATCAAAAGTGTAAAGCTCACGAAAAACATGATCGACTTATAGTTTCGAAGTGGAAATTAGTTTTCAGGTTTCCCTGCGAAAAAATATTGACTAGCTTTCCATATTAATTTAGAATTTTCAAATCGGATTATTTTAATTTAAAAAAAGTAACAATCATAAATAGTTCTAGCATTTCAAAAAGGCTACGAATTTTTTTCTTCGAAATTCAAAAATTTAGATTTTTAAGCAAAATTATTACAGTATCTTTTTCTATTTACTTGCGCTCATCGGCTTCAGAGGTTCCGGCGTACATTAAGTCAGCTTTGAGAACTTTTTTCTAGCTCAATAAAGCAACTTTCGTCGACTCAAAGTCTGTCTGCTCAAATTTTGTCGGCTATGTGACGCTTTGTAAATCTTCGTTGCGATCCTGATTTAACATCCAGTTGCCATAATTGCATGTCTTCCTAAAATGAAAGTTTTTCATGGCACAGCGACAAACATATGAAAATAATGATAGACCTACTGTTTTTTGACATTTTTTCGACTGGTTTTTGTTTCATTTTATGCCCACTAATTTGTCTTGTTATGTTTTTAATGAATCGTAAGTAGTGCGAAGCATTGCTTCACTCTGTCTTGTTTTATTAATTAAGTTAGAAAACAGAAAACACTTTGGATGCCCTCACCCTCTGTTTTAGGGTTGCTTGTTATGTTTTTCAAAAACCATCTTAGTCTGAAAGGCAGTTCAATTGTAGAAGTAAATAGTACTATTATAGAAGACCCCGTTTTTTGAAATGTTTAATGACAGACCTACTGTTTTTTGACATTTTTTCGACTGTGGTTTTTGTTTCATTTTATGCCCACTAATTTGTCTTGTTATGTTTTTAATGAATCGTAAGTAGTGCGAAGCATTGCTTCACTCTGTCTTGTTTTTTTAATTAAGTTAGAAAACAGAAAACACTTTGGATGCCCTCACCCTCTGTTTTAGGGTTGCTTGTTATGTTTTTCAAAAACCATCTTAGTCTGAAAGGCAGTTCAATTGTAGAAGTAAATAGTACTTTTATAGAAGACCCAGTTTTTTGAAATTTTTAAGGATAGACCTACTGTTTTTTGACATTTTTTCGACTGGTTTTTGTTTCATTTTATGCCCACTAATTTGTCTTGTTATGTTTTTAATGAATCGTAAGTAGTGCGAAGCATTGCTTCACTCTGTCTTGTTTTATTAATTAAGTTAGAAAACAGAAAACATTGTGGATGCCCTCACCCTCTGTTTTAGGGTTGCTTGTTATGTTTTTCAAAAACCATCTTAGTCTGAAAGGCAGTTCAATTGTAGAAGTAAATAGTACTATTATAGAAGACCCCGTTTTTTGAAATTTTTAATGATAGACCTACTGTTTTTTGACATTTTTTCGACTGTGGTTTTTGTTTCATTTTATGCCCACTAATTTGTCTTGTTATGTTTTTAATGAATCGTAAGTAGTGCGAAGCATTGCTTCACTCTGTCTTGTTTTATTAATTAAGTTAGAAAACAGAAAACACTTTGGATGCCCTCACCCTCTGTTTTAGGGTTGCTTGTTATGTTTTTCAAAAACCATCTTAGTCTGAAAGGCAGTTCAATTGTAGAAGTAAATAGTACTATTATAGAAGACCCCGTTTTTTGAAATTTTTAATGATAGACCTACTGTTTTTTGACATTTTTTCGACTGTGGTTTTTGTTTCATTTTATGCCCACTAATTTGTCTTGTTATGTTATGTTTTTAATGAATCGTAAGTAGTGCGAAGCATTGCTTCACTCTGTCTTGTTTTATTAATTAAGTTAGAAAACAGAAAACACTTTGGATGCCCTCACCCTCTGTTTAAGGGTTGCTTGTTATGTTTTTCAAAAACCATCTTAGTCTGAAAGGCAGTTCAAATGTAGAAGTAAATAGTAGTATTATAGAAGACCCCGTTTTTTGAAATTTTTAATGATAGACCTACTGTTTTTTGACATTTTTTCGACTGTGGTTTTTGTTTCATTTTTTGCCCACTAATTTGTCTTGTTATGTTTTTAATGAATCGTAAGTAGTGCGAAGCATTGCTTCACTCTGTCTTGTTTTATTAATTAAGTTAGAAAACAGAAAACACTTTGGATGCCCTCACCCTCTGTTTTAGGGTTGCTTGTTATGTTTTTCAAAAACCATCTTAGTCTGAAAGGCAGTTCAATTGTAGAAGTAAATAGTACTATTATAGAAGACCCCGTTTTTTGAAATTTTTAATGATAGATCTAGTTTTTTTTGACATTTTGTTTCGACTGCGGTTTTCGTTTTATTTTTATTACCACTAATTTGCCCATCAGTAGTGAGAAGCTCTGCTGAAATTTGATCTAAAACTGAAAAGGAGTTACCTCCCCTGCATGTCCTACATTCTTTATTATTTTTGTGATTATTATTATAGCGACTTTTTTTCCCTAATAACATAATTTTCCAGAATCTTAAGAAGCCGTGTGTTCTTTTTGATGTTTTTTTTTGCATGTTGCCTGTTTTTTATTACTAGTGCAGACTAGTTTGAATGTTGATTTTTAGTTGTTTACTAGTCGGAACTTGTTGTTTCGACCATTGACAATGGGGAGTAATTCATGTGTTTAAGTTTTTTTCAACGCAAAGTCAGGTACCATGAATAATCATCGTAATGGAGGGAATGATTTACCATATCAAAGCCCTTTTAATCTTTATTCGAACCACCAGAGTCGAGAAAAGCCGTTTTGAAGTTTTTGAGTTTTAGTATAATTTCGAGTGATCGAAGCATGCGAGCATGCTTATTATAGAAGGCTCAGCCACGAAACTTCATTAATTTTTTTGAAGTTTTTGAGCGCCTTTTTTGCAATAAAAAACAAAATTTCTGCAAAAAAAATGAAAACAAATTTTCGATTTTTTTTTGAATTTTTTCTTGTCTTTTTTTTCGACAAAAACTGTAGCTCGATTTGGCTGTATTACTCTGACTGTCAAAGATACCGAAATTTCAGGTTTTTTTAGATTCATTCATCTGACCTCGCAGAAAAAAAACAACACTAAATCGAGAAAAAAACTGAATTTTTTTTTGTTTAAATAAGAATATGGTCGGAACATACTCTGCTACTTGCACTGTAACCGGCTATCGTTGCTAACGTTCTAATTTGGTTTGTTTTTAGCACCGATGATAAAATGCAGCCATCAGTCCTCTGTGCAATCATCCAAATCCTGAGAGAGAAGAAGATGAACTCGAGCGATCTCTATGTACCTTCGAAACTGCACTGTTTCTGGATCAGACATCCATGGTTTATAGAATCCCTCATGGATCTTCCAGGCGTAGCCTCGAACTTGACTTATATTCACTTTTGGGGTTGCAAGGTTCAGATTATGGAGCCTTTGAAGTTCTTGAAGCAGTCAGAAAACCTGAAACATCTGCTTGTGCAGAAGTGTAATTTGCGGAAACTGTCTGAAGAAGAGCTTGAAAAAGTTCTTACTGTTCTTCCAGAGAACTTGGAAACCCTAGATTTAACTGGCAATGAAGTGACGTTGAAAACAAATCATATGGAAGCCTTAAAGAGTTTAAAGTGCCTCAAAAATCTCACCTTAGACGGAAACGCGCTACAGCCCTACGAACAAGTGATCAACCTATTGCCGAGTCAAGTCGAAAAGCTTTCCTTAGTGAGAACTGATTTGGCAGTCTCGTCTGAAATGAATTTTGGTGAAAAGTTCCCCGCCTTGAAACAACTGGCTCTGAGCATGAACAAAATTATTCCTGCTGCCGTCTTACTGAACCTTCCGGTATCCCTGGAAGTTTTGGACCTGCAGAGAAATCACATCAACTTGAAAGAAACCCAAGTTGAAAATTTCAGTTTTGGGTATCTGAAAAGCTTGGAAGTTCTTAGTTTGGCAGATACTAAAATAGGCAATGAAATATTGAATTCCCCAGCAACTTTCTTCCCGCCCAGTTTGCGTGATCTGGATATCTCAGGCGCCGATTTCCAGTTTGATGAGATACAAACTAATCTACTATTTGAGCGTATCCCGAAATCTATCCAGCGTTTGGATGTTTCTTCAAATGTGTTAAAATTCGGGAAGGATCTATCTAATCTGTCTTCTTTGTCTAATCTTCAAGCTTTGGATGTTTCTGACGTGAACAGTTTGTTCGATAAACACATTAACAACCTGGTTAATAGTCTGCCTAATAACTCTATCAAAATTTCGGTCAAACTGCCAAAATACTGTCAAAGGTTTGAGTTTGATATGCAGAAAAGAGAAATTGAATTAGGTTACGCGTAAATTTAGTTAACAACGCCAATTTTTAGTACAAGGAATTATTTGAATGCAATTATAGCTTTAGCAGCGCTGTAAATTTTCATGAATGTCTAATTAATTTTTCTATTGGATTGTTTTTAACAGCCGAAAAGACTCGAAGGCAAATTGGTCTAAAGACGCAATTCAAATGGTGATTCTTACTTAAAATCTTTGTAGCAGGCCAAATTTTTTGCAACAGTAAACTGAAAAATGTTTCTGCTCCCTCAAATCTGTTATAGTTTAGCGGTCTTGTGAATTTCAAAATTTGCGCGCTAAATCTGTAATTAGTTTTCTAGTGCTCGCTATTAGATCTCATATAGTCAATACGAAAATACGAGATTTCGAAGGCCATTCTGACAGCATTACCTAATAGCAACAAATTGTAAACATTTTGTCCTCTTGAGAATTGATTTTCCTTGTTTCGAGATTATTAATTTCACCTCCCTTCAAAGAAATTAGTTTTTTTTTCTTTTTTTCTCGGTTTGATAGCTTTCGGTATACTTTACATCGGATTAGTGGGCCGCATTTTTCATCGTTTGATGACCGAAAATTTTTTTGTGTGTCTGTGCGTTTTGAGTTTTAAGGGGGATGAGCTTTATTAATTTTTTTATAGTTTAAAATTTTTTCCGATTTCAAATTTTTTTTCGGCTTAAGGGTTTCTGCTCTGACGTTTTTTTTATACCGCCTGTTAAGTTTTCCGATGGTAAATTTTTACATCTTATTGTATTATTAGTTTTCTGGTTTCCAGAGTAGATCTAGTTTTTTCGACTTTTCCTAGTTTTTTCGATTAATTTTCCACGAAAGAAAGAATTTATTTCTCATTGTTAATGGTGAATATGCAAATAACGAGAATTTAAACATGAAGCACCAGAAACAATGAGGGGACAGTTAACGAACCCAATTGGGTTACAGAGCACTAGATATATTTTTATAGTATATTTGGCGCCAATATATTGGAAATCATTAATGAGTTGGTAGGAAATTTCTTCGTAGGCGGTTCTTGTTTTTTTTTTGAGAATCGAGAAATGGAATTTTATTAGAATTTTCAGCGGCAAATGCATCTATTGATCGAATTAGGTTGCTTTATTATAAAGATGTCAATTGTTGAAAATACTGGTGGAAGTTCAAAGCGAAATTGAAATCAAGGCTGAAAAATTGTTATCAAAAATTGCCTCTAGACTATCAAAAATTACGTATTGAAAACACATTTCATTTTTAATTTGAAAGAAGCTCATTTGTTTGGCTGGTTTAACCAAACTGCTCTTTCTTGGTTTTCTCAACGCTCGTTGAGTTTCCGTTTAGTCCCACAGATGATAATCATCGTTCAAGTTCTTTTCAAGTTCAGTTCATTTGTTCGTTAAAAGTAAGGGAAGCTCCACTATCGAAAAGAAAAAAAAGGTAGAATTCACAAAGAACCTGATCGACTTTCGGTTTCAAAAGTGGATTTTAAACTTAGATTTCATGACGGAATAAAAAACTACCCCCCATTCATTTTGTTGACGATTTGAGTCAGGTAGATCAAAAGTGTTTCAATTATACAAGTTTTTTGAAATTCAAAGAGCTATTGTGCGATATAGTTTGAATATGAAATGCAATATGGAACTCGTAATTTGAAAAAACAAAATCGAAATCAGTTTTTCGTTGAGTTTCTTGACCTTTTCCAACTGCCTTCTGGGTATGTTTTTTTGGTCTCATTTTCCGTTCTTGTTCCAACGACCGCCCTATTGGCATCAACAAAATTAGATGTCACAGGTGCCTGGGTAAAACAGCTGTTCAACATTTCGAAATTTTCAAGTTTCAGCGCTGTTGTTTGTATGGTGTATTGATGGGATAAAACTGATATTTTGATCAAGGCTTATTGCGTCTGTTTGTCTGTGTTTAAGTATTCCGGCTTTTCAATCAAGTTTTGGAAAATTTATTCTTGGGCTTGTTTTCTTCATTCAGCCCATTTTGGGCAATCCGGTTATTTAAATTCAAATAAATATTTCACCTGCTATCAAATGTTTGTCTTTTTTTGGTGGGGGGGGGGGGGTGGTTTGACGTTTGCTAATGTGCTCACGTTGTGGGACTAATTCATCTAAAGAATTTAACTATGATGATGATAGCAGAAGCGCGAATCATTTAAGCGTGACGAGTTACTCGTCCTCAAAGTTGTTTCAATTTGATTGGAGGCAAAGTAATTGGTCACATCGGTTACCTATTTGACTTACTATTTGATAGAGGAAGAGCATGCAAAACTCAAAATTTTGTAGAGGAAGAGCATTCAAAACTCGGCCTATTATTTGTCTCATTATGTTTTTTTGGCTTAGTTGCCACATTTTAGAATTGTTTTTTTTTTATATGTAAACATTTTTCCTTGAACTTAAGTTCTATTTACTTTTACTCCTACACTTTGTAATTCGAGTAACCTTGACTTTGTTTCGATATATTTTTTTTTGATTATAACTATTCGGCCCCAACTATTCGGCTATAAGTATCTTCCATTCTGCAGTTTATATCCTTCTTTTTTGACTGGAAGATACTTATAGCTGAATGAAATAACTTTTAGTCAAATTGTAGAAATGAGTTGGGTGTCATCAAAACTGCAGTTCAGTGTAATCAGATTTCGCTTTGAAAATTGGAAAAAAACTGTCGAATTTTGCTGGAAAATGAGAAGATTTCATTGATTATTCTCTGGAATCCGAATCACACTAATGCGATTTTAAAGCTCCAGTGTCGAGCTTTTTTAAAGAAAGGATTTAAAAACTTTTTGATTTGCCATTTAATTTTCAATATTGCTAATCATTTTAGTTTTTTCAATTAAATTGCAAATTTTAATACGGAGGTTGTATCAATTAAAGAAAAGAAGAAACGTTTTAAATTTAAATTAATTGCTATGAGCCTAAGTTTTTTTAATCTAAGTTTAATAAAAGGCCAAAACATTGCAAGGGTTGAAATGTTTACTCAGTTTATGATTTTATCTTTTTATGATTTTTATTTTTTTTTACAAAAAAATTTAGATATGAAAATAAACTAACCGAACTTGAAATTCTGAACCCTACAATAAGGGTGCTGTCAGGCTACACTCAGAAGTGGCAAATCAGGCGTCCAAGCATGACTGCTCAAATCATTTTGGTTTTCGAGACATGGCGTTTTTATGATTTTTCAATAAAAATAGAAATAAAAAAGTAACCGAAATTGCAATTCTCAACCCTACAGAGGGACGCTGTCAGACTACACTCAGGAGTTGAAAATCTTGTGTCCAAGTAGGTCTGCTCAAATCCTTTTGGTTTTCGAGATCTGACGTTTTTATGGTTTTTTCTTTTTTGAAATAAACTAACTGAACTTGAAAATCTCAACCCTACAATAAGGGTGCTGCCAGTCTACACTCAGAAGTTGCAAATCAGGCGTCGTAGCATGACTGCTCAAATCATTTTGGTTTTTGAGATATGGCGTTTTTTCAAATTTTTTTTTCATAAAACCTAAATGTAAAAAATCTAAACCGTACTTGAAACTTCAACGCTATCTTGGGGTGATGTCAGGGTACACTCAGAGGCGGTAAATCTGGCGTCCAAGTAAGATTGCTCAATTTCTTAGGTTTTCGAGATATGGCGTTGTTAATTACGTGTTTTTTTTTCTTCAAATTCTTTAAAAAAACTAACCGAATTTGAAATTCTCAACCCTCTAGTGGTCTGCTGTCAAATTCTTAACCCTACAATGACGGGCTGTCAGGGTACACTCAGTGGTTGCAATTCTGGCGTCTTAGTATGACTGCTCAAATCCTTTTGGTTTTCGAGATGAGGGGTTTTTTATGATTTTTCAAAAAATTTTAGATCTTAAAATACTAACTGAACTTGAAATTCTCATCACTCTAGTGAGGTGCTGCCAGTTACACGTCGGCGATTCAAGTCTGCCCGCTAGATATGACTGATCAAATCCTGCTGGGTTCCGTGATGTGACGATTTCATTTTTTTGCTTCGAAAAACTTTAATTAAAAAAATATAACCGATATTGAAGTTCTCAGCCCTAACGGTGGGGTTCTGTCAGGGTGGATTCAGGGAGTTCTGTCAGAGTACAAATTTGGACTCTAAGTTGTACTGCTCAAATGTTTTTTTTGTGTTTCTGAGCTATGCGTTTCTCATGATTTTTTCAATACTTTTTCAAAAAAAACAGATTTAACAACAAATAATAGAAATTGAAATTCTTAATGCTATGGTGGGATGCTCTCAGGGATCAATATAGAGTAGCAAATCTGCCCTATAATTTTGTTCGCTCAAATCATTTTGATCTCGAGACATGGCGTTTTTTATTAAATAGAAACCCCTGATAGATGAGCCCAGTTATCTTCACGGTTGCGTTGAATATCTATGTTTTAATTCATGTTTTAAGAAGCTCTTACATTCAACGAGCTATTTGAAGCACCGTAGGTGCGAGTCATACGCTAGTAAATAAAAATGCTCATTCCTGGTTATACCACAATTGATCCATTTTTCAGAGTAGTGGGCCGAAAAAAAAACAATCTACGTCGTCTTCCCTTTGTTTTCTTAGGGAATTTCTCGAGGGAGGATATTCAAAAAAATGTGGATCTTGTTCTTTTGTAGGTCGACCAATTGACTTTCCGAGCTCTCCCAAAACACTAAAAGACCCTGTTTTGGCAAAAATTTCTGTTTTTTGGCGCAGCTTCACCTTCGAAAAAACGTAAATATTGGCGCCTTTAGAAAAAAAATTATCAAAATAGAACCAAGGGTAGGTCGAATCTCTGTAGTAGGCGTCCAACCCCCCTCTCTCAAATCCGCTACTGTGCTTAATGACGATCACTTTTAAAATAGCTTTAACAAAACCGTTGAACGTAATTTTTGATTGCGTAAGTATTTCCAGATTAGCGTTAAACTAAGGATCAGGTTGTATTAGAAATGCAAAGATTGGGTATCTTCTGTATCTGGAAATAAGTTACTCCATTTGAGCTAAACTCTGATTTTCGATATCAATGATTGAACTGGTTCAGAATTCTTTCACGTTCGAGGGCGTTTTATTTGAAGGAGCCATCTCCAAAGAATCTATCTTGAAAACCAAAAATTTTCAAGGAAACCCAACTGACATATATCTGTCAACT